GAATGACATCTGAGTGTTAACAGTGCATTTTAAAAAAAATTATTTGGGAACCTGAGTTATGCCTCTGTGTTGGGAAATAGCAGCTTATCTGCCTAAGCATGCAAGGGCTGTATCCTTGCCATCAACCTTCTGTTGGAGCATTTTTGCAAACAGGATTGCACTTTGTTAAAGACCTTGGTGTTAACATCAAAATAAGCTCCTGTTAATACTCACTAATATGAAACTGGCAGGAGTGAATAGAGTTGACTGGGTTTTTCTTTCTCCCCCAAGACTTCAGTACTCTAATTCCTGGGTGCACTCTTACATGTTATCTGCATCAGTCTCAAGCATGGCGATCAGTTTATGATTACGAAAAACCCTCTGTTAATGGAGGCTTCCAAAGAAAGCATTGGCAGAAGCGTTTATGTGTGGGACTTTCCCAGTATATCGCTGGCCACTTTTGAAAACTAAACATCATGTGGAAAAGTTTTCCTGTGTAATAAATGTGAGAATGTGTTTGTGTGGCTTTTAGCTGTAGCCCTAGTATCTCACTTAAGTGACTCCTTGCTTTTGTATTTTGTTCACTTTTCCTGCGTAATGCATGACCTAAATTTCATGTCTAACTAGGTATAGAAGTCAGTATTTTGTTCGCTCGGATCCTATATCGTTGTTTCCTTAAATTATAAGTCAGGTTACAATTTAGGTGGTAAGCTATGTTGATTTTTAGTATTGGCTTCACTTCAAACTTAAGTCAGCAAATACTTTGCTATTAAACCATGTATTTTCTGTGTTCTGTTTAGTTATTTTTAAAAGGAACATATAATTGCTGTTTTGGTAAAATTCTTACCGCATTAAGTTTGACTTCTATCAGTCCTGTTATTTTTATGAAAGGCTTTGCTATATTAAATGTTAGGCACTGTCCCTGGGGAGCAAAGCTAACAATTACTGAATCTGGCTTCACAGATTTACCTTTTTCCATATCAACTTCCACTGTCTTGGGTAGTGGCAGAGCCACTTCAGGTGCAGTGGCTGCAAGAGAAACACCACCTGTTGAAGCAACTGCTCCCAGTGACAGTTGTGCGATTTATTTATTTATTTTCCCTCTTCTGTATGCTTTTTGATGGATCAAGGGTTTTGGAGAGCTTTCTAGAACTGCTTTTTGCTGTCCCAAGAAGATCTGTGCCTGTTTAGCACATCTCTGATGCTGAGAAGAATGTCACTGCACGGCTGAAAAAAAAAAAAAAAAAAAAAAAAAAAAAAAAAAAAGTCAAAAGTTTGCTGGCAGATGAAAAGGGAAAAATGTGGTAATGGCTAAAGTTCTAGCAATGACTTCTGATACATTGACATGTTTGTCCTTGACCCCTGAGTCAAAGCAGTTGTTTCTCTTCCTGGTTAACTCCTGTGGATGGAAGGCCTCAGGGAGGCATTCTGTGACCCTTCTGTCTAGCCCTTCTTGGGAAGGATTTGCTTTTCAGTAGCCAATACCAGGGTGGATACTGTCTTCATTACTATGGAGAATGAGGCACAGGAGAATTTAGGCTGAGCCTCAGTCATGAGGCAGTAGTGAATTTTCTTTGTTATTTTCAGTTATGACTACTACTTTCACTTGAAATTCAAGAGAAGCCAGGTTTTCATCTGGAAAATCAGACGTTCATCTGTAAGCCAGATGCCTTCCTATGGAGGGAGTAGATGCAACATTAGAGTAAAAATAGTTTAAGAATCTCATCTGCACCCATGGTGCATCTTCTAGAGCCATTGAAAGAGCTTACAGGCCACTCTGATGTTAAAACAATTTGTGAATAATCTAATGAAACTGTGGATAGGTGCCACAGAGGGCTTTCCTTCTCCCTGGCCCCCTTTCAAAATGCTGTACTAAGGGTAAACTAGGCATGGTGAAGAATATTTCTATTGCTTTAACTCTCTGGGATTGCTGTTGTATTTGATTAGTCTTCATGGACTGTTTCTGCTGATCTTTTCAAATAATTTCAATTGAAAAATCCAAAGTCTTCTACTCAAATGTTTGGTGCTGTACCCTCTTAGACCTTGAATGATTCATGGATTTTTCTGCATTTATAAAATGTCCCTCCTGTGATTTATTAAACACAGCCTGAAGATTTCTGGTTTCTGTGATGCCAGCTTATCCACCTTAACTGTGGACTGTTACTGCTTTAGAAAACAAGCCTTTAAGAGTTCTTGAACAGCAGATGCTTGTTCTTTAATGGCATCTTGGCTTTCTTCAGAGATGCTACACATCCTAAAAGGTCCAGAGCAATTTGCTTGCCGCTTCTCAGAATCTTCCTCTCACAGGAATGTCATGTTCTTTCTTCAGAATCTAGTGACTACTTATTGTAGTTGGTTGCGCTGAGCCCAAACTAGGGATTACAGTAGTGTTCAGATATGATGAACTTTCCTCCCAAAATTTACCTGACACTGAGTTTCTACAGTTGAATTTGGACAGGTCCTTCCCAGGCATCTACTGTTAAGCTTTTGCCAGTGTTTCTCCCAGGACAGTATCTTCTGCAGTTTGTAGCTGATGGCTTATTGTTCCTCTGTTTTGCTTGGCCTCATTTATTTTTTTCATAAAAAGGCTGTTACTATTTTGGAAATAAAACTTTGATTTGCGAAACGCTTTTCATTATTTTACTTTTCCTAAATAAATCCAAAGCTTTGCACTATTGGTATGTTTAAGTCAGTGGAAAAAATTATTTGAAATTTGGAATGAAAGCTTTAAGCAGTCAAATTCACTGGTTATAACACCATTCAGCTCACTAACAAAGTGCTCCATTTGGAACTAATCAGAGCTTTGTGATTTTTCTAGGCCAATTTGAAACTGCTTTGCTTTGATGTGTGACTGAATCAGATAGTATATGAGCTCAGTTAGTCGAGACATATGGGCTAAATTAATCTTTACCGAGTATATAGAAATTAGATCTTTATGGAAAGAATTGGAGGTTATGTATAAACAAAATGCAAATTTTAAACTGCACGCGACGCCTATTGTAAGGATAGTGGAGAGAAGGGAATACCAGATAGGAGGCAATATGCTGTCACAAACTGTTGAGAGATTTTTCTGAAACCACGTGGCTGTGTTATTACCCAGTGTTAAGTACCAGAAGTGCCTATATTTGCTGGTGGTTCTGAGTATTTGGAACTTGGGCGTTTAGGATAACGTAGTCTTGCCTGAATCTAATTTTCTAGCTTGCTCCGTTACTCAGTTCCTCTTGTGAAGTCTCCCATTGCCAGGAGGATGCTGGAGTCATTGCTCAGGCCGCTGGAACTTCCTCTCAGTGGCAATCCCACCGGAGTGAGAGTTTAATGAGCTCCAGGAGAGAGATGTGCGAGATAAACTTTGGTAAAGACTGACTTTGGCAAGGAGATCTAAACTACCCCACGCTCCCCCAAGCTTAAAGTTAACGGCTGGTCTTTCTAATGTGAAAGCTTGATTAAGTTTTTGGAAACCTGTGCTAAACAAACATACAAGTAAACTTCAGGTTTTGATCAAAAAGGAGATTTAAGTGCTGAAAAGGAAAGCAGGTACTTGTAATCCTGCTTTCTCTGACACTCATTGGTCTTTCTGGATTGATTTCTCTGCGCACAGAAGCTTTTTTTTTTTTTTGGTGGATGTCAAGTACACCAAGTCTTTCACTTGTGCTCGTGCCTCTAACTGCACGTAAGTCTACAAACGTCAGTCTTAAAATGGAGCTTACAATAGGTAATTGTATAGAGCTAGAGATGTGCTATTTTTGACTTGGATTGTGTATTCTGATTGATGTCAGTATGTAAGGGTAATGGCAGGGTGAGCAAAGTATTGTTTAAAGAGTAAATTGTCCCTACTCATGGTGCTGTCTCAAGTAATCAGAGTCGGAGTGAGCCTTTTTCCTTACAGGGACCTGTAGTCGCTGGTATTTGTTACCATGAATAAAGGATCGCTTCTTTTCTTATGTCAAGATGCACATTTTTCTCCTGCGATTTGTGAAAGGCGAAAATCCCTGTTAAATTCTAATTACGGCTCTCCATACCAGGATTTCACTTTATTCAAAATGTGGCCATTGAAATTCAAGTAATGCATGAGTTAGTATGAGTGCCTTTGTTAGCCTTAACTACCTCTTTAAAGCACACTTTTCTCTTTAAGATATTTAAACCCTTGTGTTCAGGACTGCTAATGCAACTGTTCATCCACTTCTGCTTCTTATGACCTAGAAAACAAGAGAGTAATTGCCTTGCTTATGAGGCAGAGGATGAATGTTACACTACAAGTAATAGATGTTTTTACTTGTTGCTACATAATTGTAAACGCTCTTACGGGCAGCGGCTGAAGTGGGTAGTTCAGTTCTGCCTTTTCTAATGATTTATCTTTGTTTCTGTAGTTTTAAGTAATGGTGAAAATATGTTTTCTTATGCTGAATGCGGTTTAGAAGGTACATATTAGGCCATGAAGTCTGTTTTGGTGATGCAGGCTTCTGCTCAGGCATTATTAGTGTGCAGTTTTTCATTGAAACACGATCACGATAGCAAGGCTTTTAATTGGCAAAGACAAGAAAATTGTGGTTTTTTTTTTTTTTGCTAAACTGGAATTCATTCCTTGTAATCTGTGTGGAAATACTTTGAAATGCCTTGAGTCTGCATCTGTATAGATAGGTGACATAACAAAAACGGTATTTTCCAAGAGCACTTTTCCCCTAGTTTTCTTGTGGAAAAGTTAAAACTGCAGTGTGGAGAGGTTAAGGGTCTTGCAATATCTCTACAATTGACTGCTGTGTGACTATTGTTTAAAAAAGAATTATACTTTAAGTAGCTTTATAGATTAGCCAAGATAATCTAGATTTGTGAATAGCTGCTGACTAAAACAACTTCCCTGAACTGTTACTTGGGGAATATCAGTAGTAACACCCTTTGGTTTTAAAAGAAGTAAATGTCTCCTAACTGCCTTCAGAGTGGGTTCTGCTCGCTCCGGAGGAAGGTGTGATGTTTGCGCATTCCCTCAGTTTATTTTATTGGATTTTTGTGGTTTTTCTTTCCAGGTCACTCCAAGGTCCGAGACCCCCATCAACAGCGTCAGTAACAGTTTGGAAAATGTCCTACATACATCAACACATTCCATTGAGGAGTCATTACCCAAGAGGCCTTCGGGGAAACACTCCAAAGGTGTGTCCTTTTCTGCGTGCGTACTTCCAGTGGAGGAACAAACTCCTATCTCTTGATGGCGATTAGTGTTATTTTAGTTGTGATTGGAGACTGGAATTTTGCTTCTTTACTTCTGGGTTGGGTTGAGCAAAGGAAGTCGAAGAAGGATTTTTGTGGGAAGTGTTAGTGTATCAGTGAAAAATGGCCAGCGAGAGACAAGTCTGCTTATTATTCTGTTGGGAAATAAGCAAGAAAGTTCCTTATGAGTTGAAATACCAGCTTAGCTCTCGTGAAATACTCTGTTCTCAAGGAGTGAATATCTCTGCCACTCTCTCTCATCCACGTAGTAGCAGGTTATTTCTTGGATGAAGCATATGGTGATGAGTGATGCTTTACTGGGGAGGAGAGAAGGTATTTAAAACAGCAGTTAGGATTCCCCTTCCACCTTTCTCTTGGTTCACAAGAATGTGTAAGTGAGAAGCTGAGGGAAGAGGAGTGGAGGATAGAAGAGAGAGCTTGCACCTTTCTCAGCACACGTGTGCACCCTGAATGTTGTTGCAAAATAAGTCTTATTTTTTGTAGTGCCGTATTGCATGCTGACCTAGCTAAAAACCGGGCTTAGCAAATTTGAGTTAATAAGTATGCATTCCCTTTCCACACTCCAGGCTATGATTACAAATGCTAAAATGTCTAGGTTAAAACGTGAGTAAAGGTATTTTTGTTTAACGCATACAAAAAGCACTATTAAGTGAGGGAAGTCTTTGAACTGTGAGCTGCTGTTTGTGTAGAACAGTTTTTGTGAACTCTTTGTGGTATTAATAAAAATAGCTCTGTATGGCATGACTAATGCAGGGGAAATACACCATCACATTAGCAGCCCTGGTATATTGCCTTCAAGTATCATTAAAATTACTGTCACAGACCATATAATTATTTTTTTTATTTGGAATTGCTCTTCAGAATTCTGTCTCTTTCTCTGCCATTGGCTTCCTGCATACCCTTGCAAGTATAGTTTAATACCACGTAAATGGTGATATTTCAGAGCAAATCTTCACTCAGAGGAACTGATACTGATTGGAAAAGGTTAAACATCCCAAGGAAATGTTCTTAGCTTTGCCTCCACTGGACCTCCTTTTCTGCGACATACTCAAGTGTAATCCCAGTAGCTGTAAGTAGCAGTAATTTTTTACAGCAGAATAGTGCTGTAAGTAGCTATTTCTCCAGCTGTAAAAGCTATCAGAGTAGAAGAAAATGCAACACTAAGCAAAAGCATGGCTAGGTTTGTGGCTTTCATCTGATTAAAAATAGGACAGGGTTCAACACTGTTTTCATTTGTACTCAGTGATTGCTATTCCAGTACTATATATGCCAAGATTAGTCATGGTACACTGTGAAAATTAATTAGGTTTTCCTCTGATCTGTTTTATAGAATACCTGCTTAGTTTTCAGGGAATGTAGCTTTTTAATTTATCGATCATCTTAGTGGTAGTTGGTGAAAGGAGTTGTGGAACAAATACAATTTTCTTGCTGATAATCTGCTTTTTGGTTCACCAGCAGCAAAGATTATGTTGAGATCTCCTTGATATATGATGATCTGTCTGGTAAGAGAGTTCTGCCTCTTACGGTTGGAGTACAACTGAAGATTATTTGCCAGCCTGGAGCCACCCTTGCTCGCTTACAGATTTCTAATTCCTGTAGCAAACAGACGCATCTTTTAACCTAGCAGAACCCACTAACTTTTGAACCTTAGAGCACATGAAATTCAGTCGTGAGAGTATGGGGATGGACAGGTTGCTTGACCAGTTGTGTAATTCTTGTGTTGGAATTTTCTAGTGAGTCTTGCTTCAGACAGCTTGAGAGGACAGGATTTCTTCTCACTTCTGGTCAGAAATAGTGAGCTGCCTAAGTTTGTCATTCCTCTTTTGGCAAAATGCTGAAGCTGCAAGTGTCTCGGTTAACAAGGCTGTAGCTGAAACAAAAGAAAAATGAGAAAGCTCGCAAAAGGTGCAGCATCCATTGTGCTCAGATGGATTAGAGACAGTTTCTATTCGTCCAGTGAATGGTTTTAATTCTGATTTGTAGAAATGTCCGTAACGTGACATGCTCTGTATATAGCTGAACAGTGGATGGGTTTGTAGTAGGCTTGGACCTGAAGCTATTGGTGGCTGTGTTTTCCCTAATTCACATGTAGAAACTCGCTTTTAACATAAACTATTTCAAGTTTCTACATGGGGGAGAGAGGAGAAGAGTGGTATATTGCTGAATACTCTTTTAACAGACTGTGGCAGAAGCCTGTATGCATTTGCATTAAGTGGTTAGCTGGAAACTTTCATACATGTAGAGACTTGTCAAATACATAACTTTCAAATAATTCCACCATCCTATCTGCTCAGAATATTGCTGCCTTGGGAAACGAATTTGTAAAATGAGTCTGAGAAGCCCATAAACATCTTGTTTTTATCTCAGAGGCCCAGCTAACCGTGGGCACAGTGTTCAGGTTTGGGTTACTGGATCCATGCTCTAACACTCAGGGTGTTGGGAGTGGTGACCAGCTGGGGCAATCATACTGTTACTTAGCAAAATTCACCACTTTTTCTAGGCTTTAGTTTTAGCCAAAGCCCCTTCTCCCTTCTGCGTGTATCAGTGCTGAAGCAGGGCAAACCAGGTGGACGTTTCCATAAAGAGTTGTGACACGAGAATCCTGTACCTGTTGACATTAGCATTTTAGGTATCAGGGCTCTATCTGGACTTTTCTTTTGTAAAATAAAAATAAAGTTCAAAGATTTGGCCTATACAAGTTTAGAAAAACACGGCTGGGTATTAACATAGAAGGATGTGAACCTCTCCTGAAGTCTTTAATGGCTGTTACATGCAGTATAGATTGTGCTTTTTTTACTTGTATTTTTTTGATTGGTGACATGGGATTGTTCAAACTTGTTTTTGCAGATGTGGAAGTTATTTTAACTGGAGGTAACTTGGGAAGTGGAGGCTTTCCATGTTCTCAGGGACTGGCTGTTGTTGTTATGCTTGTAAGCTGCAGACAGGCTTATTTACAGGTTTTAAGGTATTGACAGATCTCACTGGTCAAGGAGAATGGAGGCAAATACAGATAGATTCTTGTGTTACGTGTAAGTGAAATTCCAAGAAGGATGTTTTGCTAGATCAGTCTTTTTCCACTGTTTCTAGCATGTAGTCAGGTTTTAACTATGGTTTTAACGCTGACCCAAACAAAACAATCAAATTCAAGTGAAGGTTGGACCTTTTCTTTTGCATATGGGGTGAATTGAGTGCCACACTGTCTTCCCTTGTGTTGCCCGAGGCTTTCTTCCTCAGTAGGACGAGAATTCTGCTACTGCAGGAGGTGTCAGTGTCAGAAATGTTGATTCCAGTTTCAAAGATGAGATTTCATGCTTGCAAATTCGTGCCTGACAGGCATGTACTTTAGCAACAGTGCAGCAGCATGGTGATGGTCCTTTCTATTGGCAGGTTTGTGTTTCCCAGCACGATGCCAACAAAGTCAGCAAACTTGGAGATTCCGATAAAGCCACCAAGGCTGGTTGTCTTAAATTTAGGATTTTTTACCCTGCGTTTTCTGGGGAGCCACCTCAGAACCTTTTTTTTCAGTAGCCAGTGACCCAGGTGATTAAAGAAGGTCACTGGTTAAAAATAGTATATTCACTAGCAACTTTTGTTCTGCAGGCAATCCTGGGCTGGTAACTCAGGGAAATTTCAGTTGTTATACCAAAGTCCAGGAGCAGCTCTCCGACCCACGGGAAGTTCCTTTTGCAGAGCTGATTTGTAACAAGCCTATAGATGCAGAGTTGTTCTGACCTTGTGTGGCAATTCCTAAAAGAGAGTAGTTACGGTTATCAAAGCTGAATGAAAAATTCAGCTTATTTTGTATTTTTTTTAAAAAAAAAAAAAAAAAGCAATAGGAATTTCCTGTACACCAGAGATGTTATTAATTACTCTTACAGTAAGGTTCCAAGCAGAACCATTTGGCCATTAGGTGAGTAGCACTCTAGGCAAGTACTCCTCTGCACATGTGACATATTTTAGCAATGTATTAAACATGGTCACTGACCACAGCATATTTTCCAAAAAGCACAGTGGAATAAAGTACATTAGACCAGATGTTGAAGTGCGGAACAAAAGAATCTTTATAATAAAGGCAATGTAAGTTGCAAAACATTACAGTACGAAGACTGTGCAGTCTTCGTACTGTAATTTCTCATAATACTGAGTAAAATTTTGATTTGTCACAGCCTCTGTGTTAGATTTTCTGCAGTGGAAGTTCTGTGTTGGTGTTTATAAGATGCTCATTACTGCTATGAGGCGTTGCAGGTGGCACTTAACCACTGTTACCCTCCATAAAGCAGTCTAGGAGATGGTTTCCTTGACTGAAAAAGTCTCATTTTCTGTGAAGTGACAAAAAATTCCCTATTCTTACGTTTCCTGTATATTTATCTTGCCTTTCCGCTGTTGCCACACAAAACCTCAAAATTGTCTCTGAGCCAGTCTCATTTCAAATGAAGCAACTGTTGAAATATGATCCTTATATAGTGAAGCTGAATCACAATTCTTGCAACACATGCCTCTAATGATAGGCACAAACTGCTTTCTGCGGACAGAGAGGAGTAAAGCTTTTAGATGTAAAATGGGTGCAGTAGGCTTTATTCTACAGTCTGTACTCCATTTAGTACTCCTGCTGAGCACAGTAGAACTTCTTGCCTAATTGAAGGTATTGCTGTTAGTCCACATACAGGGTCCTGCAAAGCCTCAGCAGTGTCCCAGGCTAGAATAAATACATGGAATGGCACGTGACTTACTGGACAAAGAGGAGCTGCTGTCTGTGGGTACGAGGAATAACAAACTCTAGAGAAAATGCATCCACTAATGTGTTGATTTAAGTTTGTATTAATATTAGGATGTGAAATATATCCTTATTTGCAGTAATCCTGTTGATCTCATGTAGGATATGAGTTGCAGGTAGGTTAAGCTGATTGCTATGTGCAGCAAGC